AATATGAACAACACATGATAATTACATACAGGTGTGTTTGATATAGGTTGCAACTGAAATCTGCAGGAACGTGGCTCTCCAGGAACAGGGTTGGCCCCCCCCTGACCTAGATGGTAGACCACAAAGCTAGAAGTGGTATTAATGAGACCAGCAGGGGGCGCTCAATTTGTGGTCTGTGTGTGTCCTAATTCCCCAGTATAGTGTTGGGCAGACCCGGATTGGCTAATCAGGAGGACTGGGAGTATTCCCGGTGGGCCGGTTGTTTTTTGGCCGCAAGGGCCGAGGTCTCTAGCTGCTTGCACTCTCAGCAGTTGCACTTTTTTCATTTATTGATTTATTTGACCTCACTCTTTTTATTCATTATTTTATTTTTTATTTATTTTAATTTATTTTCTCGCAGCCCCTTGAACAAAATGCAGCCTGCAGGTTATTGCTGACGTAATTATAATTTGACCCCAAACCGCGGCACCTTGCTCATCAGCAAAATCATTTAAGAGATACACGAGAGATGACAAATTGTTCTCGGAAGCACAAAGTAATACAAACGCACCATCATATCTGTGCCATTGTGGTCCAGCGGTCAGCATGTTGCATTACAATGCTGCTGACCCGAGTTCGAATCTCACCTGAGAAGTGCTTATTTTTTTTTTATTATTATTATTTTTTTTTATAATATTTATTTAGTGTTAAGACATATAATACTGTTTGGGTTACTTATGTAGGTGTCCATATTTTATTTTTGTTTTTTGTGTGACAATTTGATGAATTTTGCACAGAATATATATTCAGATATTGCAGAAAAGGACATTGTGATGTTTTAAAGAATAGCGTTGGAGATTTAGCTACACTTTAATGTTCTCAGATTTATGAAAAACATTTGAAGTTCTAAAGCAGCTGAGTCCTTGAAAAAGACGTGATTAGTGCAACTGAATTGGAAATGACCTTATTTTAATATAGTCAGTCGTGAACTGATCTTAAGCTTGAAACTCCAGTGCTGAAAAGGAATCCCACTCCGGCCCTGGTGACGGGGACTCTATACTGCTCTGTGAGCAACGTCTTTCGGATGAGACTCGAAAAAGAGTAGGGGTTTAACCCCGTCATCCTGGCCAAATCTGCCCACTGGCCTCTGTCCAGCATAGCCTCCTAACCATCCCCATGTCGTAATTGGCTTTATCACTCAGTCCCCTCTCCACCAATCAGAATGTGTGTGGTGTGCGGTCTGGCGCAATATGTCTGCCGTCGCATCATCCAGGTGGATGCTGCACACTGGTGGTGGATGAGGGTTCCCACAATGTGTAAAGTGCTTTAAGTGCCCAGAAAAGCACTATAAAAATGTAAGTTATTATTATTATTATTATTAGAATAGTGCATTATTTTATCTTTATAACTGTAATATTTCTGTTAGCACTATTAATGATCTGCTTTTAGCAATTTGCTAATCCTAATAGATTTCGTTTCATGATTCCTATTTAAAGGATGAATATTTAGGAGAAAAATTGCACATTTTTAACACCTTAATGATTGTCTACAATCTAACGAAATCTACGAAATTCACACAAAGCATCATGGGACGTTCACTCAACTGTCATACACTATATAAGGATTAGTGAATGAGTGAGCGAGTGTGCGGTTTCATACACAGCTTCAATGTGTTACGCAGAAAAGAAAAAGGAATAGGAGAGCAGCTCCAGAGGAAACTCAGAACACCAGATGATGAAATCTTCATCGAGGACTAAAAAGCAAGACCTCTGAGCTCCTGTACTCTTCAAAAGTGATGTTTTTCTTGCCTGCAGGTGACGTGTTTACATTTCCTTCTTGCAGATCCACAGTAATGAGGCAAGAATAAAAATGTTTGTGATTCAGATGCACTTACTAAGCCACCAGGAATATCGCAACACGTCTCCTGTTCGGACTGTTTACCATCACAGTAGATCACCATCCTCTGCAGGTCAAACTAGAGAGTAAACACGCACACACACAGAGAGAGAAAGGGGAAACTGGTTGAATTAACTGTGATTTAAAACTTTTGAAACATTTTCAGACATTTGGGGTCATTGAGATCTTTTTATCAAATTGTTTTAGTAAGAAATCACTTGTTCTTCTTGTACTTATATAATTCGTGTGATGCAAAGCTGAATTTTCAGAGTAGGTTTATTGTAATTAACTAACTTAACTTAAAAAATTACTTGAACTTAATTTAAATAATGAGGAAAGAAAAAAATATGTTTAATGTAATATACCAATAAACAATAGGTAAAATAAATAATAATTAAAAAATGTGGTGTGTGTGAGAATGAATAAAATCTACAAAATTGCCACGTAATTAAATGAATAAATTAATTAAATTAATGAAATGAATTAATTAAATAAATAAATGATTAAATGAATCTTAAGAAACAATTTTATATGCTGAATTGATGCTAGAGAAATGTAATTGTTTAAAAATAATTTTAAATTATTATAAATTAAAGTATGTCTGCATTATAAATAAATAAAAAAATGTAAATTAAAATATGTCTGCATTATTAATTAAATAAATAAAAATAAATGAATGATTGAATTAATAAATAAATATAAATTTAAAATGTAATGCCTGCATTATAAATAAATATAAATAAATAATTATAAACTAAAATATGTCTGCATTATAAATAAATAAAATAAACGACTGAATAAATAAATAATTATAATTAAAATGTCTGCACTATAAATAAATTAAATCAATAAAAAATTATGAATAAATAAATACTTATAAATCCAAATGTCTGCATTATAAAAAAATAAATAAAAATAAATGAACAAATTAATTAATAAATAATTATAAATTAAAATATGTCTGCATTATAAATGTATTAAATATAATGAAAGATTTAATAAATAATTATGAATTATATGATGTCTGCATTCTAAATAAAGTAAATCAATAAAAAAATGAACGAATGAATTAATAAACAAGTATAAATAAAAATGTGATGTCTGCATTTTAAATCATTAAATCAATAAAAATAAACGAATAAGTAAATGAATGAATAAATAAGTAAATTATTCTAAATTAAAATATGATGTCTGTATTATAAATAAAATAAATCAATTAAAATGAATGAATGAAAGAATAAAAAATTATAAATCAAAATATGTCTACATTATAAATAAATGTTATAAATAAATAAATAATTCTAAATTAAAATATGATGTCTGCATTATAAAAAAATTAAAAAATAAATGAACAAATAAATCAATAACTGAATTAAAATATGTCTGCATTAGAAATAAATTAAATCAATAAAATAAATGAATGAATAAATAATTATAGTTAAAATATGTTTGCATTATAAATAAATTAAATCAATAAAAATAAATAAATAAGTAAATAAATAAATTTATATATAAATAATTATAATTTAAAATATGATGACTGCATTATAAATAAATTAAATCATTAAAATTAATAAATAAATAAATAAGTCTTCAATTCTTAATCCTTAATTCTTCACTGCCACATTGATAAATTTCTTCACACTTGCTTAATCAAAACATGAATAAACCTCAAACACCAGATGCTTACGTCAATAGGAACGCTGTCATAGAGCCTCTTCCCAATGACAGTTTTCCCCTGGATGTCGATGTCTTCTCTTTCCTCGATGGGTAGCGTCTCGATGTGTTTGCAGTCCAGAAAGAGCGACACAGATTTGGAGTCCACCCTCATGCCAATCTTATGCCAGTTACGGTCAAACAGATTGTCCACCTCTGGGTTCCTAAAAACCGCCCGCACCGCATCCTTCGTCAGGCCCACAGCGTTATACTCCACCGCCCTGTTCTCGCCATCCAGACGGATGGACACCTGGACAATATTTGCAGAGTAAATTCAACAATAAAACACAACAAACAATGCAGCACGAGATTGTTATAATTTAGCATTTTTTAATAAGCCTTTATAATAATAATTGATACTAATTCCCTTAAATTTATACAGCGCTTTTCTGGGTAGGCCTACTCAAAGCGCTTTACACTTAATCCAGCATGAGTTATCTAAATATTATCTTAAAATTTGTTTAGTTTTAATTCGCTTCATTGATGATTTTAATAATGTATTCCACACCTGAGGGATGCCATATTTGTCATAGACTTGCCACAGGTACCAGTCTTCCTTACGGGATGTTTTCCTGAACTTAAATGTGGTCACAAAGGCATATTCGTCTGGCAGACCCTGAGGTAACACATCTCTGCAAAACAACAAAGAAACCTCTTGTAATTGACAACAAACGTTAATGACATTGTTCATCGAGTGTTTTCAATATTGAAATGGTTGCTTTCACTTGACATGTTAAACGTGTTTGGCACAAACTGGGAATTTTAATGATCAAAAGTGATTAAAAAATTGTATTACTGCAAAATTAGTGGAAATAAACATACAAATGTCAGGAAAAAGGTGTGCAAAAACAATATTGACTTACTCTGTCTTTTGGACGATGGGCAATGCACCAAGCCGGACGTAAGGAGTCTGACCGGGCTCAAATTTTTCTCCAAGAAAATCTCTTACGTTGAAGAACTCCATCAAATCAAAACCTGTAGCCAACATGAGAAACAAGACCTTTTTTTTTTGTAATTCATTGATTAATTAAACAAACAAACCTGTTGTAGATTATATTTGACATGTCTTTCCATCAATGATCACTAGGTGGAGTCCATGAGACAGCTCAAAAAACATACTTTGTGCTAGGCTAGAGCAGGGGTGTCCAAACTCGGCCCTCCTGGAGAGTTTAGCTCTAACCAGGGACGTTGGTAGGGTCCCCCCAAACCCCCCCGCAATTAGAAGTTCTAATTCACCCTGCTAAAATACCCCCACTTTCTAAAGGTGATCTACTCTAATCTTAATAATATGATTACAAATGGTTTAATAATAAATAAAGGGTTTTTGAATTGACAGTCTTTAACAATAATTGTGAAGCTTTTATACACCAAAAAGGAAAAACACATTGATAAATGAACCCACTTCTCATTTACTAGTCTGTTATGAGCCATATCATACCTCTTGAGTCTCCTATCTCCTCCTGATTTGTAGTATTTGTTTGTTTTTTGAAAATGTAATTACAATATTTGTATTTATTCTGTCACAATAATCAATATATCGACTTATCGCACAACACGTGGACATGACCTCAATCTTTTTTGGTTATGCTATTACCGTTGAAATCAGAATTATTAGCCCCCTGTTTATTTTTTCCCCAATTTCTGTTTAAAAGAGAGGAGATTTTATCAACACATTTCTGAACATAATAGTTTTAGTAACTCATTTCTAATAACTGATTTATTTTATCTTTGCCATGATGACAGTAAATAATATTTGACTAGATATCTTTCAAGACACTTCTATACAGCTTAAAGTGACATTTAAAGGCTTAACTAGGTTAATTAGGTTAATTATGCAGTTTACTGTAATTGAGCAAGTTATTGTATATTGATGGTTTGTTCTGTAGACTATCAGGAAAAAATATATAGCTTAAAGGGGCTAATAATATTGACCTTAAAATGGGTTTTAAAAATGAAAAAAACTGCTTTCATTCTAGCCGAAATAAAACAAATAAAATTTCTCCAGAAGAAAAAATATTATCAGACATACTGTGATAATTTCCTTGCTCTGTTAAACATCATTTGGGGAAAAAAAAAAATCAAAGGGGGTCTAATAATTCTGACTTCAACTGTATTTGGCAACAAAGTGCCTCGACTGACCAATCAACTTCAAGTCTGAAAGTCTTGTAATGGGCAAAGAAAATGGGCATCAATTGTAAAGAAATCACAGTAAAGAGCAAATTACAGTCTGACTGCTCCACTTGTGTTTTACATGTTTTAAAATACATGCTAACATTTCAATTAAGCGAAAGGATTAGCTTTACTTTCCACGCTCTCACACACAAAAACCCATGCCTCTGGGATCCAGCATGACATCATTGTTCGTTTAAAAATAGTAGATCTGTGTGTGTGGATATCAGCCACTAATTAATGCCTCAGATCTGCAGCCAACACTCATTAAACTGCACTTGCTGCACCAGATGTTTTTAAAAAACAACCTTTCATGTGCAATTATGTCACTGGCGCTCCAGCATACGTGTGTGTGTCTGTGTGTGTGTGTGTGTGTGTGTGTGTGTACTGAGGTTGCCAGTTCTGGACTTCTACCCTATTATAGTGGCCAAACCAGGGCAGTCCTATAACCAAATACATAGTCTGTCACCATGGGGATACCAACAAGGGGTCTGGGCGTTACTGGAGAAGCCAGTGAAGGGTGGATGTGGCTTGAATAAAGCATTTAAGGCAAGGTTCTGCAGGTGAATAGTGTAAAAAAATTAAATAAAAATATAGGCGTTTGTTAAGCTGGTTGAACATCTCTTCACATCCTGATCGTGATGATTAAATTAAGTGGTCCACATGTATTTATTATATGTATTTTTAGTATGTGGAAGGTGTAGGAGCAAGAAACATTTGTCCAATCAAAACATTCGGCCCTAACTTTACGATAGGCTGTTCTTCCTGCCTGCCAATATACAGTTGAAGTCAGAATTATTAGCCCCCCTTTGTTTTGTTTTTTTGTTTTTTTAAATATTTGCCAAATGGTGTTAAACAGAGCAAGGAAATTTTCACAGTATGTCTGATAATATTTTTTCTTCTGGAGAAAGTTTATTTGTTTTATTTTGGCTAGAATGAAAGCAGTTTTTAATAATAATAATAAAAAAAAAACATTTTAAGGTCAAAATTATTAGCTCATTGAAGCAATTTTTTCCAATAGTCTACAGAGCAAACCATCACTATACAACAACTTGCTTAATTACCCTAACCTGCCTAGTTACCCTAATTAAGCCTTTAAATGTCACTTTAAGCTGTATCAAAGTGTCTTGAAAAATATGTTTATATATAGACCTTTTTCTTGGAACGCAAAATTACCCATGATGCTTTGTGTGTATGCGCAAGGAGAATGCGAAGAACTTCCGGTCGGCAGCTGATGCGTGTAAACAGTCACATTTGGACAGCTTTGAAACGATAGTTTTAATCTATTTTACCTGCTTTTATCCTCTTTGAACTAATACTGTTGTCCATCAGCGCCATCTCCTGGACTGATCATTTAAAGAAATGCGATCTAATAGGATGGAAAACAGCTGCTGTGAGGCGTTTTCCCCTCGTTGTCAGACGGCATCTTCTGCAGTTTAAATGAAGCCTCGTCATCGCTAAAGTCAACATTTCCTCTTTATTTCAAATATATAACCAGCCCAAACAAATGTAATTCACCAAAATGTTTTGACACACACACGTAGCCTGTACTGTGCCACTGACACACTGATTTAATAACTGTGACAAAGTGAAAATATAGGCGAGTGTCATTTCAAAATGACAGAAAAACACAAACCGTGGTGAATACAACACACAAAATAAAACACAAACGGCTCGCGATTAGAATGAACAGCAAATCAGCCAGCAGAGGATCAATAACAGACTTTTATTGCTCATTTTTGTAAATTGCACGACTTTCATACCTGTTAAGTTTCATGCCAGTACTCTGGTTTGCTCTTGCTCTCTCTCTCTCTCTATATATATATATGTGTGTGTGTGTGTGTGTTAAAGAGCCGCTGAGCTAACAGCTGACAGGCCGGGAACACACACACACACACACTGTATTTCTGACGGCAGACACGTGAACTAGGAGAACGTTTTTCTCGTATTTCTGACGCGCTTGAACCACATGTGACAGATTATAACGGCTTTAACAGACACATTTCTAAGTTGTGTGTCACAAAAACACTCTGTTATCCATTAAAAACGTTATTGAAACCCATTTTCGGAGCGCAAATTACCAGTTGTACACGTTGTAAACGGAAGTTTTTAGCATTCTACCGGAAGACGCTGGTCTCTATGGCGCTCTCCATGCAGCAGCCATGAAAAAGGTCTACATTTATACAACAGTTCTGTCTGGTTCTCGAATCTGATTGGCTGATAGCCGTGATATATTTAAGTAATATCAGCACCCATACAGCCTCTTTACCCTTTGTGTATTACTCCGCCCACATACAGCCAGAAAAAAGCAGACACTACAGATCTAAAGTTTAAAAGATGCACGCTCAGCTGTTTAACTGTCAGCTTATGATTTCAATCCAAAGCGGAAGAAAGTAGTTCCTCATACAAAAGGTTTTTGAGACTCTCCATGTTTGATTTTGTTTTTATATACACAATTATGCCGTCAAACTGTTGTATAAACGCAATATCACACTCGTAGCAGTGCGATATGGCTGTATATCGGCACTGGTGGGGGCACTAAGGCATGCACGGCTTCCACCAGTGCTGATATACAGCCATATCACACTGCTACTATGCTATACTACTGCTATGTGATATTGCATGTACAGGAAAAAAATTAACCATTGAGATAATTAGACATGGATTACAATAAAAGAAATCCAAAACTTCAGTTGGCAAGAACTGGAGGCTCTTATTTTTGCTAAATTTGCACAATGAAGGGAATAGTTCGACTCAAAAATGATGTTTGCTGTTTGTTCAAACTTCATACACAAAACAGGATAAAACAACACAATTCTTAAGAGTTTTTTGAGGACAACTTAACTGTTTTACGTTCAATCCACTTTAATTTGCAAAAACTAATCAGCTAACTTAATTCCCTTATGTTGTCCCAACACAAATCGATTGCATGGAACCCAGCATTTTTCTTTACAGTGTAAGCCAGGGGATCTCAAAGGGTCGGGACCCCTCGAGGGGTCACGGGACAATGAAGGGGGGTCGCCTGGTGATTTAAAAAAATCTATTTATTATTATTAAATCATATAGGTACATATATATATAGTTACTATAGTAGCTTATAGTTACTAGTTCTATTGGATTGCGACCCCAGTGGTAATTACATTATATTAAAGACACAGCAATAGCGTCAGATGCAGCAGATTGATTTTATAACACTAGGTTAAAGTTTCTGGCCCATTTACCGCACTGACATTAAACGAAGAATATCCCTGGGTGTATTGGTGTGTGTGTGACATTGCATGCAAGGGTTCTGTATTCATAACCAGGATATTGGGGGTCGCGAGTCACTGGCATCGTCCCAAAAGTTTGGGAACCCCTGGTGTAAGCAATTAGACCATTAAAGTAACAAACATTCTGCTATATTCATTATTCACATTTTATTTATGATTTTTTTATGTATTTATTTATGAAAGATTGCTAAACTAGTACATAAGCCAAAGTTAATAATCGTTTTACTGTAAATGTTGGTTTGGGGTTGTCATTTTAGGATGTTTTCTGTTCATTAAAAACACATAAAAAACACTTCACCTCAACCTACTTATATAAAATGAGCTGCAACAACAATTCTTAAGTTTTTTGGGGGGAGAACTTAATTGTTTTATGTTCAATGCACTTAAATTTGCAAAAACTAATAAGTTAACTCAATTCCTCACGTTGTCCCAACACAAATCGATTGTGTGGAAAGTGGCATTTTTTAACAGTGTAAAACATTCTGCTAACTGTTTTTATTATTCTGTCTTATTATTTTTATTAGTATTTATTTATTT